AACTGTCTGAGTAGCAATATTGAAACCCAACCATTGGTAAATCTCCGTTGTGTAATTCGCACATGTCACAATGTTGAACAGAAAGCCACAAGGAATTTGATATCCTCCACTACCATCGGGACCACGTAGATTCTTCAGTATGATATGACAATAGAAGTTTGCAAGTTGACAAACCAACCCAAACCCAAAGCCAATCTTCATCTGAAGGTCGCCAACAGGTGTGTAAAGTGGGTGGTTGACGTAGTAAGCAATGTACGCACCAAAGGTCCAGTAATAAGCACAATTTCTGAAGACGTTCGATAGTGGAGATGTCGCATGGCTGAAGCGGTGGACGAAGAATGTTTCCATAATCCGTTTGAAGTAGTGGAAACACCAGTAATATAAAGCATATGTTTGAACAGGGTGGTGAACTGGGTGGGTGACACCTTTGTATCCAAAGAACTCGTACACCGGGAAGTAGTAGAAGACGGGATAGAGGATCAACGGACCCAAGTACTCGAAGAAGAAAAGTGTTCGGTAAGACACTTGAGGACCCAAGTCCTTGAACACTACGGTTAAGCTATTCTCGTTCCCATCACAGTATTCTTTGAGACTCTTCTTGAAGTTAAGGATGGCAGGCCGCTCCCTTGATCCCGATGGCATGGGAAGCGTCAGTCTTTGTCTCGAAGGATAGAACTTTTTAGCTGGTAGTACAACATGCAAGAACTCAATTAGAACGAATTTAATGACCAATGAAACTACCTACACCGGTGTAATCAAGGGAAGACGCTCAAGATAACAATACACAAGGCATAAAAGTTGGTCAAAAGATCGACGTACCAAGTTTCACTAACTGGAATCATATGATCTACTATGGATATGAATAAAAAAGAAAAGAAGCTTCACTAATTGGAAATGTAGTGACCAAAGGAGATGCCAACCTCAGCGATATCGGTCACATCTTAAGGAATCAAGGGAAAATGCTCAAGATAACAATATTCAAGGCATAAAAGTCAGTCAAAAGATCGACATACCGAGTTTCACTAAACGGAAACATAAGATCTACTATGGATATGAACAAAAAAGAAAAGAAGATCCACTAACTGGAAATGTAGTAACCAAAGGAGATGCCAACCTCCGCGATATCAGTCAGGTATCGCAAAGGAAACGTTGCCTTATGCGATATTTTCAGTTACTTCACTACTCAAGAGTCAATACAATCAGGAAACCATGATACATGAAATACAATATGAAAAATAGAAAGACATAACAAACACTTAAAGGGGGTAAAAAGAGTATCTAATCGACTCTATCTGCAAGTGCAACGATTTGAAGCAAGAGAAAACCCAAAAAAAAAAAACAGATTTACAAGAAATTCCCAGAAGAATGCAATTATTCCCCACCAATTCAGATGTTCGAACTTACTTCTCTTGTGAATTGCCTCCTGCAGATCAGCCACTGTCGCCTGCAAAACAAAATAGAAAAGAAACACAATGAATTCCCATTTTTCTCCTCAAACCAAACCATTAAAAACAAACAAATCACAAGAGAAATACATACCGAGTCATTAAGCTCGAGGCCACCTTTGATGAATTCTCTCCCACTGCGCGAAACTAGAGTGACCTTCATCCTTTACCGAAAGAAAAAGAAACCCCGTTTTTTGTTATAGCAAAAGGAACAACCCCTTTGAAGCTTTGAGCTTGAAAAAGCTTGGATCTTTAGAGTTCCATAGATCTCAAAGATTGGAAATTTGAGATTATTACAAGTGTGGATATTAAAGGCGTGCGGTTAGGGTGGGAGAGCTAACTATCTTGGCCGATGAACCGACACCGATTCTTTAATGGCTGACGTGATTGATTGAGTGGAAGCAGGGGGACCATTTCGACGGTGAAGATCTTGACACATCATAAATCTTGTTTCTTTACCTTTTCATTAAATTCTGTATTTCAAAATGGAAGAAAGAGAGTGACCTTGTTTTACAGATTTATCTTGCTTTGTTGGTTTGTTACACATGTTAAATCAGTTCGTTGATTCAATCGATTTTTTTATTTATGAATAATAATTAAACAAAAAATTGTAAAATCAATCATAATTAGAATTTATAATTACAATTAATTAAATTGTTAGATTTTTGTCTTAAATTCTTTTATTTTTAATGATTTGCATAAATTCTAATTTTATTCTACTAATTCGATGGGTTCATCTTCATCATATCTAATTCGATTTTGACAATTATGTTTATTGTAGATTTAAGATCTTGATACAAAAAGTTATGTATTATATATAGAATCATTTAATTGTATTTAACAATTAATTTTTTATCTGAATTATAGATTAAATTTGAATTTGGAAAATTATAATTAAATAAATCTTTAAATATTAAAAATTTATCATGATCATGATTTTTCATATAAAAACTTATTTGATCTATAATTCAAATTAAAATTTTATTTGATTTTTTATACAATGAGAGAGATCAATTTAATAAATAAGGTTTTTTTATTTCAATTTGATTTAACTAAATTTTAGTACACTCAAATAGATTGAGTATGAAATCCATTGTTTCCAAATCAAAATAAATAAAATTTTGGGTAAATCATATTGTCAAGGAGTCAAATTATTAGGGTATTATTATTTTACTCACCAAATTATAAAAGAAATCATTAATGTCTTTTATCAATTCTATTTTGATCACTCTCCATTTAATCATTAACAAAAATTATCAATGTAACCTTTTTAAAATTGATATAACAATATTTCTCTCCCACATTCATAGAGTTCATTAATTTAATCATAATTCTAAAAAAATCAACAAATTTAATCCTTAATATCTATCTATTCTATAAATTTAATCATGAATTTAGATTTTAAAAAAATTAAAATGGATGTCATCAAAATAAAACCAAATGAAAAAAATATGAAGGTAAATAATATTTTATAAGATTTTCTAATTAAATTTAATTATGCAAGCAACTGTATCATTCATTCATGAGTATGGTTGAACGTTGATCCATGGGTAAAATATAAAGCCATGACCAAAATCAAACTTGAATTATAAAAATAAATCATTCATGAGTATGGCCATTTTATGTGAGATTGAGACATAGGCTTTTGCTCATGAGGGGATGTAGTTTATGAAAAAATTTAATTGTATAACATTGGCATCATTCATTCATGAGTGTCGTTGAACGTTGATCCATCACTAAAATAATAAGTATCAAAATCAGATTGCTTCCCAACTAATTTGGCTAGTTATTGAACCATCAATTCATTCTAAAGCATATGATCAATTCAATATGTAAGGACAAAACCATTGTGTAAGGAAGAAATTAGGACGAAACTTCATGAAAATAATTATAAATAGTAATAAAACGAGAGTCATAATCTAATTGTTAAGTAATCAATTCTTTCATTTGTCTAGAGTGAATACAAAATAATAACTATTAGAAAAACTCTCATCCATTTTAGAATGAACACTTGTACACCCTTATAAACTACATGCTCGAATCTAGGACCTCAAAAGATAACAACAATCTCTTAACCACTAACGTCACTTTGATTAATGCTTAAGTGATCAATTTAAAAGGTATTCAAAATGAAAAAAATGGTTGATAATGACTTAATTCATCTAGTTTCAAAATTAAAAGGGACTTAAAATGCAATTTGACCCCAAAATTGAAGAAACTATGCTTGTGTTTGAGGATATTGAACGTAACAATAGGTAGGTATCACGACTTCATTTATATAGCTTTAAGATCAAGGACTAGAAAACAACTAGACCTAAAATTTTGGGGGCCATGACCCCTCCACCACCCTAACTTTGGCTCCGACGCTAAATATTTATGACAAGTGACAACCTAAGAGTGGCAGGTAAGAAGTAGGAGCTCAACTCTTAGCCTCTTCTTAAGTAGAGGCGGCTGCCGCCATGGCGTCACCCTACAATCCCCCCAGCACCACTCTCTCTTCCCCTGCAAAGCCGAACATTGTTGTATTTGGCAGTTAAACGTAGGAAACTCGACACTCGATAATAACACAAGGATCTCAGGTAAGGTTAGGCAGTTAAAACAGCAAACCAACGCATCCGGGTTTCGTGTTATGCATTGGAACTGAAGCCCAAATGACTGTAGGAGGGCAGATGAATCAACCACAAAGAAAGCATGTCAATGCATAAAGGCAGTTCATGACAACTCAAATGATGCACAAAACAGAAGCTATCAAGCAAAGTCTGGTTGGTACATAATTCTGCACATGATAGAGGAAGGGTCATTAAAGATGGGTCATTGCATTCTCACCACATGAAGTTCTAAGATAAGTAAACTCCGACATGAAATATGTATATGATACAAAAAATAATTCAAACATGGACAGCTTAATTTTCCGGCCACAACTGAAAAAGGAGAGAAAATGAATCAGAACAGCCATCAAACCAGGAACCATCATAACTGTAGAGCTTAAGATCTTATCGAACCAAATGATTACCATCAAACAATCAGCAACACAATTTGATATACGCCTCAGCTACTGGAATCATTAAAAGAAGTAAACAGATGCATTTACTTCGAACACATTTATCCTTCATTCAATAACAGAGCCTTTTATAAAACCAGAAAACTAACATATGAATATAAAACAGAAGCAGCATGCATTGGACAAGCTACTGAAATTTGTGAGGAACAACTAATACAAAATGAAGATCAGATTCCATCAATATAACCTAAAATTCTAAGTATAAAACTCACTGGGAAACTACGCATATAGCCCAGTCCTCGATAGCCTTCAACTTTTTCCATCCTCATAACTTCACTAATATCAACTTTAAGGTAAGGTGAACCAATACTGTTAATCAAATGTAGAGGTTGAATTCTGAAAGTTTTCCGGGTAACTAAAGAAAGTGAAAGTTTTTAATATAGATTAACAGTATTTATCAAGCAAATGGTGCATTACAAAACAACCATGCATTGCAAAGTTAAGTTTTTCTGTTGAACAACTGATAAAGAGAATAAACATCAAATTCCATCACTACAAACCAGAATTCTGGGAACAACTCACTGAGAAACTTTGCAAATATCTTCATACTCGATGACCTTGAGCACTCTGCCATCATAGATTCCCTTCTCAATCTGCACCTTTGCACAAAACTTCTCTGTATCCACTCCCAACAACCTTGCAGTTGACCCACGATACGCCCCATTTACTATCTTTATCACACCCCCAATTTGTGGAATCACAGTTTCAAGCTCTTCCTGGTCAACTCTCAACACATGCTTACTCTCAAGCATTTCGATTTCCCCCACATACCTATCAATAACTTTCTTCACAACTCCCTTCTGCTTGTAGTACCCTTTCTGAGCCAATGCCTTACTCATCACCTTCACGATGATGCCCTCACAGAGCCAATAGTCTTTCCTATTACTCCTCTCTTTTTGCTTCTCTTCTTCTCTTATCAACTCTTCCAGAGCACTTTTTCTCCCACTATTTTCCTTCCTCTCAATCTTCGCCTTCGCCTTCATCTTCTCGTTCTCTTCCTCTTCAAAAACCAGCCGAGCATTACTGGAACTCTCACCTTTTTCTGCTTTTGCAGCACTTCCCCCTCCTAAAGAAAACCCTATTTTCATTCCACTGTCTAAATTTAACTCTTTGATTACAGCCTTTTGTTCATTCTCCTCAGCTTCCAAAGGGTTTTTTAACTGCTCAGCTTTCTCAATTTGCTTCTGAATTTCCCTCTCGTGCTTCTCTTCCTCTACCATATCTAACTTAATTCTTTTGTTCTTCATTTTCTCCTTAAAAAGGGTCTCTGAATCTCTATCAATATAGGTAATAAACCAACCTTTGGGCGTCTCATCAACCTTACACTTCCCAGTCCTTCCCAAATGCTTAATAAACTCCGTTAACGTAGCCCACTGTGTCGAGTTCATATGAACGTGATGTCGATCATTAATAAACTCATTGTAAACGACAGTGGCTGCGATGCGACTGAAACGGTGGCTCCTTTTCATAAGGTCAAGAAAGTTCCTTTCAAACTCTTCGGAATAGCCAGATAAAATCCGGTCAGGGTTTTGCCCAAAGATTTGCATTTGGCGTTGGTGAGATTCGCTCATGCAGTGGCACTTGAATCCATTTTCATCTCGGCATTGCTTTTGACACATTTGACAGTACCATCGCAGCTTCTGGAGACCTTTGGCTTTGATTCGATTTGCGATTGCTTTGGGGGTTAAGAAATCGTTTTTCCCCATCTGAGAACAAGTCAAAAACCCTAAGGTTTGGAGAAAAAATAATCAGAAATTATAACTGAACAGAAAAAAAAACACAACGAATAACGATTCAAACAATAGCAGTGTGAACAAATTTAACATCAATAGAGGAGATAACGGAAAGCTATTCCTGATAAATCAATAGCTATTAAAGTTCATCTTCTCGACTAAGTAAACACACAGAGAGAGAGGACGGATGAGACAACGCGACAAGCAACGTGATCGAAAACGCAAAATCAGATATAGCAGATACCAGATAATTCAAGTCGCATGACTCAATTAGAAGTCAAATCTTCATTTTAACTTTAGGGTTTCAAAAATTACCTTATTTAATTTCCTAGTTTATCGGAAACTTGAAGGCAATAGAAGACTTTCGGTCTGGGACTGGAGGAGGAGGAGGCGGCGGCGGAAGAGAGTAACTTAGGCTTGTTTGGCGGCGGCCGGTGAAGATCTGTGGGAACGGAATTGAGACTGGACGTCTTAGCGATGAAACAAATTGATATAATAATAGATACATCTTTGTAGTATTTATACGGCTTAATATAAAAATAAATATTTAAATTATATTTTAATAATTAAAGATTTTTTTAAAAAAAATAAGTATCTAATAATTTCAACATTATATTTTTAATAAAAAATTTTGTTAAATAACACGATAATTTGGATGATTTATTTTAAAATTTAAAAAGGTAAAACGGTATCAAAAGCCCTTGTACCTTTAAAAGAAAAAGCAATGTCACCCAATATGACAAGTTAGAAGAAAAAATCTCAATGCGCTCATTTGACTAACATTTTTTGTCATTAACCAACGGCTCAGTTATTTTGTGCTAACTTGGGATATTAACCAGACCAAAATTTTATATTTTTTTCTCAATTTGGCCCTCCAACTCAAGAAAATAATTCAATCTAACCCTCTTATTTTTTTCTCTTCTATTTTGATCACTAAACTTTAAAAGTTTTAAATTTAATCACTCAACTTTTGAATTACTCATGTTTTAATCATCATGATTTATTTTATTAATATTTATGTATAATGTGGCATTTATTGTTCTTATTTTATTAATATATGGTTAAAATAAAATTAATTAAATTAACATTTTAAAATTATATTGAAAAAAAAATATTTCTAAAATTATAATTAAATTTAAAACATTCCCTTTGATTTATATATTTCCAAATCTCCACTCTCTTCATTTATCCTCCTCTCATTTCATTTTTCTTACTTTTCAATCAAAGATTTCTTTTTTTTTCTTTCATTACCCGGTAGTTCATCCTCAATTTTTTTCAATTTTTTTTACAAATTCAATCTGGGTTCAATGAGTATGGTAATGAAAGAAAAAAAGAATTCTTCAATTGAAAAGAAAAAATGTCACATCATACATAAATATTAATAAAATAAATCATAATGATTAAAACATGAGCAATTCAAAAGTTGAGTGATTAAATTAAAAATTTTTAAAGCTTGATGACTAAAATAGAAGAGAAAAAAGGAGGGACAGATTGAGTTATTTTCTTGAGGTGGATGGCCAGATTTAGAGAAAAATAGGATTTTGGCCTGGTTAATGTGCCACATCATCACAAAGTAACAGAGTCGTTGGTTAATGACAGAAAACGTTGGTCAAAGGACCACATTGAGTTTTTTCTGACTTGGAGGGACACATTGGGTGCAAAAAAAATAAGGGTCACATTGAATTTTTTTTAAAGTACGAGGGCATTTGGTACTCTTTTGCCAATTAAAAAAATAAAAATAACTCTTATTAAAAAACCAAACAACACCCTGTGCTCCCTCCTCTCTCTCTCTCCTCTTCTATATTCCCCTTTCTCCCTTTCACTTTTCATAGTCGTTGGTCAGTCAGCTGTGATTGTCACTACCACCGTCATCAATATCGACGTCGACCCTAAACACTTATTGATTTTTTGTTGTAACATGCCACTGTTTGTCATGGAGAAGAATTCAAAGGTTCGTCGGATTTTAAGTCACCGTTGTTATTCTTTGTTAATTCCGACCTATTTTGATGTTCATAAGTCACACCGCCACCACCATTCGAATCACCGTGTAATTTTGATCGAAACCCATCTTTTCGGCGATGACGAAGATGGTCGGATATGGTCAGCAACGGTTTGTAATGGGGTTGAAATGAGAACTTTTTAATTTTTATGAGTTTTTTTATAATTTTAGTAAAAATTTGGGGCTTTTATGAATAAATTGAACTTTTTAAAATTTTATTTTTTAAAAATAATATTTTTATTACTAAAAAAATAAAAAAATATAATGGTATGACCTAAAAATATAACTGAGAAAACGTTAGACACATATTTTTAATAAAAAATTCTTTAAGCGCCAAAATATTTTTAGAGACATAATATGAACATTTATTTTTGTATTATGCCTATTTATATAGTTAAGATGTGGGTGACTCTGGGGACCATTCGCAGTGGCAACACATATTGCTCCATCGAGGAAACTCTGTACGTGAAACCCAACCTGACTTGGAGTGTTGGTTATTGGAAGTTCATGTTCTTTATTTCAATCTTTAAGAAATAATTTTTTAGGTTTTTGGTTGAAATAGGGGCCTTGCATGTTTTAGATCGAAATGGTATGTATCTTTCTCTAGAAGAACTATACGAGAAACTTTTGGATGGGAAAAGTGGATGCAATTGGGAGCTTTTTGAGGCGTATAGACACCTGAAATCTCTTGGTTATGTAGTTGGGCGCCATGGTATCCCTTGGTCTGTGAAGGGACTAAAGATCAAGTCCGGAACCTGTTCACTCGAGAGCAGTCAAGAGAGTAATGAGATGCTAGAAATGGAGCAAAAAAACAAGAATTCCATCATTGAGTTGTTCAATAATATGCAGATTACAGAAGTGACTCTGGCTTTTCACGTTTATCTTCCGAACAGCAAGTTTAGAAAGTCTTCTCCGGGTGATCAGAGTTTTATTCTATGCATGAGTAGGTAAGATTATATTGCTTATTACAAGAGTTTGAAACTCTTGTACACTCATGCATATGGTGATTCACTGCATTTCTTTCGTTCATATTATTGAATATCTGTCTTCGTGTTATTTTTTTCCCATGTAAGTTTTCCCTTGATGTTGAATGGCTAGGGGTGCGAGTGTACAAGAACTATAAAACATGTCCTCTATTATTCAACACAATTTCGGATACGGGTATTCTAAGTTACTTGGACTCATTGATACACTGTTATTCTAAGTTACTTGTACTGATGTGTGTGTCAGATACGGTTATGGTTACATTATGTATTGATTGATTTGTGGACTTGGGAGTGTCTTGCATTCTTGAAATGAACATGTATTCTGTTTAGAAGCATGTATACACTCTTGCATAAGATTCACTATCCGATTATATAGAAATTTCACTTTCTGCCCGACTTGTCTTCTAATACAGGGGCAATCCACCATCCAGATTAGAAATTGAGGCCGTCGGAAGAAAGCATGGCCCCAACCCTTAATATCAATAAAAGGAAATAAAATAGAATAGTCTAGTGAGAAGAAGGGTTGATCCGCATAGACTAAGGGAGTTGTCAACAATTTGGTCCTTGATTTTTTATCCTGAAGTGAATTGCAAAGAAAGTAAAAATGGGAGTTTGATGAGAAGTATGTAAAGAAAATAAAAGATTTAATCTAAAGAAAACAAAGAAATTGATTTAAAGGAAGTGAAGATGAAAACTCTATTGGTAAAAATCAACCTCAAGTTTAAGCTTTTGCCTCAATTCCAACCGATCCTTGAATAGGATTTCAACTTCGGATTCATGTCGGTTACAGTCTACAGGGTCCAATCCCTGTAACTTGTTTTTCTCTCAATTAACCGATCATCTAAAATCAATCTTTGGATCTCAATCCTTATGTGGACTAACCACTACAATCGTTTGTTAATCCAACTCCGTCTTAGTTTAGGAAAAAACCCGACTCGGATTATAGCGTCTCAATGAGAATTGAACTCGATTTATGTTTCTCTTAGCGGACTGCCGCTAAGTGTATTCACAGGAAGTCGAATGTGCTACAAGTCGATCCTTCCTTCCAACTATTAATCAAAATCGTAATCAATCCAATATGCACTTTTTGAAAAGAAAACATTTTTTATTATAAAAGGATGGTCGATTGCCAATCCTTGATTCCAGAAAACTGAAAATATAACCCGAAGGGTATGAGGTGCTTTTCAATTCTCACAATCAGAATTGACTCATCGCTTCAACCTTTGGCTTATGAAAAACTTAGCTAAGCATTGTAGAAATCATACTTGACAATTTAAAAGTAAAGAAAACTTGAAAAGAAAATAAAGAAAAGTGAAAGTAAAAAGGAAAAATAATTTTATAAAAACCAAATAAATGAACAAAAGAATTCGAGAGATGAGAGATATGTTTTTCAGCACAACTCGATGGGGTATTTATACTCTCCTAAAACCCTAATAGCATAAATGACAAATAGATAAATCTTAGAAAATATTCAAACTTAATCCTAAAAATAAAAGATAATTCCTAAAAACAGTAGATAATCCTAATTTCAAACTTCGAATGTGTGGCTAAGTCCCCCCCTCTTCACGAAAATGCTAGATGGACCTTCTAGAAGATGTTGACTGGATGCCACATTAGACGCAATCATTCCCAAAGTCATGCCCACTAAACCGACCTTGATTCCAGAAAACTAAAAATTGTTGAATTTCATCTCTTTTAGCATCATTTTTGGAATCTACTGTCCTGCATAGAAAATGAATGAAAACTCCCAAATCAATAACTTAAATCGACTAATCAAGGAGTAATTATCAACAAAATATTAACTAATTTAAGCACTAATTAAATTCCCATCACTAATTCAATGCTTGTCTTCAAGCATTTCTCAATTAACATGTCAAAAATCTCAAGTTGTCATCTCCAATTCCACAAGATTTCCAAGATTTCTAAGCAAATAAAATCAAGTAAATGTCAAAACTTAAGAAAAATTAAGCAAAGGTTCAACCAATTTAAATGTAAACAAATCATAGCATTCCAATCATCCATTAATCTCAAAGAAACAAGACTTATTACCTCACATCAGTTTACTCATTCTGCTCAAAGTGTTTCGTGTAAAAGAATCGCTCAAGTCTAAACTAATTAAACACTGCCATAAGCTTGTAACTAAATCTAATCTCCACTCTTATGTAGGAACATGATGCAATAATCAAAAAGTCTTTCAAAATGATTGTAACGACGCTAAGGTTCGGGTAGGATAAAGGCAAAAAATCGGTTAAAAATTCAAGATAAAGAGTAGATCGTTTCATAATTTTATTCTTAGGGGAAGCAAAAATGAAAGAAAAGAAATAATGAATCAAACAATAAAAACTCTATTCATCTTTTTCTTTTCTTTTTCTTCTTTTCTATTTTTTTCGAACATCCCCTTTTCTTTTTTCTTTTTTCTTTTTTCTTTCTGCACTTGTTCGAACAAAAATTGCACTATTTTCCTATGTTGCTTGGACATT